ATCTTAACATTATTTTCCCCCTTTCCCCCATTCCAACCATGTTTCAATGCCTGTATCCCAGAACCCTGTTGTTCCAAGGTTGTGCATACATCATTCTTTACCTCTGTCCCACTTAGCCCATGCAAACCTGCCTAATTGTTCTCCCATCTGCTTTGTTCTTTCATTCACCTCTCCCTTCTTGTATATTGTCCCCCTCCCTAGCACCCAAACTATCCTGTGTCTATTCCCTGCCCTGTGCTCCACCCTCCCTTCCCTCCCCTCACCCCCCCCCCACATCCCAGCAACCAGTCAAGAACCTCCCCCTTTAGTATGGGTTAATTCATGAATTTTAAAATATATTTCCATTTAATAATTTTCAAGAGCAACGACATTCTTTCTTATTTCTTTAAAGGGGGAGCACAGTGGCTCCATACCATAAGCCCTGGATTTCAAACCACCAGGTCTGCAGTTCAAACCCAACAGCCTCTCCATGGGAGAAAGATGAGGCTTTCTGCTACCGTGAAGACTTAAAGACTCAGAAACCCTATACAGAATCACTATGAATTGAAACCAACTCTATATCATTTAGCAACAAAACAACGTCATTGAAAAATTTGAAAATTATCATATTTAAATAGAAAAGATTACTTTCATGAATGAAGTAATAGTTGCATTTGGTTGTTTCTATTGTTGACTTTTAAAAGTGAGTTATGTTTGTGAAAACAATGAAAATTATGGGAATCATTTCCTGGTATCTATCCCAGGGTCCATGTAAAATGAAGTCAAATGATCCAGCCCTTAGTCTTTGCGCTTCTACAGTGTCTCTTTAAGAACAAGTTAAGCCTTATACTAATAGTTAAGTGCTGTCAAGTTGGTTCCAACCCATAGCAACCCTGCATAGGATTTCGGAGGAGCCGCTGTTGAGCTTGTACTGCTGATCTTACGGTAATAGTTACTACTAATTATGGGTTGGAACCAACTTGACAGCACTTAACAACAGCAGCAACAACAAAATTCATACACACACATATATATGTGTGTGTGTGTGTGTGTGTGTGATGTACATACATGTGATATATATATGTGTGTGCGATGTACATACATGTGATATGTGTGTGTGACGTACATACATGTGATATATGTGTGTGATGTACATACATGTGATATATGTGTGTGATGTACATACATGTGATATATGTGTGTGACGTACATACATGTGATATATGTGTGTGATGTACATACATGTGATATATGTGTGTGATGTACATACATGTGATATATGTGTGTGATGTACATACATGTGATATATGTGCGTGTGATGTACATACATGTGATATATGTGTGTGATATACACACATGTGATATATATGTGTGTGATGCACATACATGTGATGTGTGTGTGTGATGTACATACATGTGA